AAAGAGAGAGAGAGAAAGCGAATAGATAAGTGCTAAGAGAGAAAGAAAGAGGAGGGGAGAAAGGGGGGGGGGGGGGGGGGGAGAAGAAGAAGAAAAGAGAGATTCGGGAGAGGATCTATCTACACATGGGGGTAGGGGCGAACTCCCTACACAACACACACACACACACACTACGCGATAGAGAAAAGTTTACATTCTCGTCAACATTGACAAACGCGAGTCTCGAGAAAGTTGGCCTGACAGAGAGGCAGGCCAAGGTATGCGACCGAGTGGTTGGCGTAAAATGATATGTGATTTCCTGGACGTCCGTGACCCCTGCCCATATGACATCGGGCCTCGACATTCCCAGCTGTCGGTGGCCAACCCATTGGTCGGAGCAGCAGCCTGTTGCATTGAAACCCTTCGGGCTGTTTCGCACAGGCAATCTTTCTTTCCACGTCGTAACACGGGTTCAACGCGCGCCAAACGAAGAGAGTTGGCGCGGATTGGCTTCTATGCCGTCGCCAACACTTCCACCTTACCCCTTCTACTCGTGCAACTTCGTCTTCCGCGACAAGAAGTTTCAGACCATGAAAGAAATTCTTCCTCGAGACGATCCCACAATCAGAAAGCATCATCAACATTGCACACAGGGGTGGCAGAGCCCGTAAATAAGCGAACACGTCAGCAAAGGCTTCAGTAGTTGGTATCCCCCTTAGCACAATTAGATGGTCTGGTAAGTTCTGATGAATGCAAGGCAAATCCAACCAAGCCCTGGAGGACGATAATTTGAGGACTCCTCGTCCATAGATGCCATCTGTAATCTCAGCAAAATTGACTCTGCACTAGCATTGCAGCATAGAATGGGACCTAAAGAGCTACTCACATTGTGAGAAAAGCTACCCGCGACAATATCTCTGATTTTCATTGTCCGGTTCCTTAAGGTCGCAGAATCTTTCCCGAATATTAACGGATTGGTTGTGGAGCTTCTGTTGAAAGCATCACACACTGCTGACCGTGTTTGGATGCATTATATAGCCCCACTGAAATGAAATTTGCCAGTCGTGTGTCAGTATGGCCGAGTGGTTAAGGCGCTAGACTTGAATTCTTCATTTGACATCTAGTTCATTCGTGATCCTAGGTTCGAACCCTAGTGCTGACGTTTATCTTTTTGCCCTTTTCCGTTATTCTGAGGACTTTCTTTTTGTAGATTTGTCTCTATGCAATATCTTCTCACTTTCCAATGCCTGCTTTTCTTTCCTATATTCTATCATTCATATATTCTCAAATATGAGTAAATCCTGTTTTGAGGTTTGTCTTTTCAAAACTCTCATTTTACATTGGTTGAATTGCAAACCCGGAGGAAAAACAAAGATGACTAAGTCAGTATGGCCGAGTGGTTAAGGCGCTAGACTTGAATTTTCCATTTGATATCTAGTTCATTCGTGATCCTAGGTTCGAACCCTAGTGCTGACGTTTGTATTCTTTTTGTTTTTGTTTGTGTGCAACCTGTTTGTTGTGTTTGTCAAGTTGAGTCCATCCTCAGGGCCGGCAAACTTCTGATTCGATCGAAGTTGATCTCGAATTTCCCCACCGGACAGTAAGTAATCCGAACACCAAAAAAGTTATACTGAAATGAAGCTCATTGGGAGTCATAAAGCCAGTGGCCAAAAACAATCGAAATTGTGGTATGCTAAGTAGCAAAGGACATTCAAGACATATTCAATTGATGCTCATTGGTCTGGGGGTTTCAATCTCAAGTCTCGTAGATCCACCCGTGGACGGTTCAGATAATACAGGCGAAAATGTTTAAATCTTAAAGCCATTTTTTTATTTGATCTTGCAATGATCAGAATGTGTGTAAGATCGGCCAAAAATTAAGTTGAGCATGGATGATAAGCCGTAGATCGACACCACACTCATAGACATCGGCCAGATGTGCGAAGATCACGATACGGTGCAGATGTAAGGTCACATCTGAGCAGCTTCACGTCATTGGTTGATCCGTGGATTGCTCTCTCTTGGTCTAGAGGATACACATGTTCCTTCCCTGTGGGGATATAAACAAAGCTCGACTCGCGCCCGCACGTAGTTCTCCTTTCCTCCCCCCAATCCACGTGTGTCTCAACTGGTTCCTTGGATTCGACACTCTATAGATCCTCGCTCACACTTCTCTCTTTTTTATTCTTCTCCTTACTGGTTGAAACAAAAATCAACCAAGCTTCCTTCATGTCACACTCCTCGGGAAAGCTTGTTTTGTTCGTCCGAGACTTGCAATTCCTCTTCTTGTTTGGTTTGCCTCGTAAACACCATGTCAGAGGCAAATACAGAAAGGTCGACTGGTGCTACAAATGGAAGGTCAAGCTCACAGGAGGCATGGTCGGCCTGGCAGTGCTCATTCTCCTGGGAGGTGCTGTCTGAGTTGGTAACGGTAAGCCGTGTTTACTTCCTTTTGTTGCGTTGTGTGTCCTGTTAACATGATGTCTTCACAGTGGAGAGATGAAAAAAAGAGAGATGACAAGCATGAAGCCACCCTGTTGATACCGGAAGCGGCTGTGGCACAACAGCAAGTGGCGGAGGACGACGACCCTGAGGATATCGATGGCTTCCAAGAGCCGGAAGGTGTGTCAACCTCTAGTAACCCAGAGCAAATGTCTAGGCCGCCCCCAAAACAGCGACGGACAAGCACAGTGTCTGGGCCGCCGATCACACTTGAGAAAATCCAGCAGAGTAGATTAACAGTTGCCCCCAGTCATTTCGAGCGGAATCGGCTGTGGTGTATAGATTATGCCATGATAATGAGACAAACGAAGGCATTTGGCATTCAACCAGGTCTTTTCCTTACAAGATACCATGGACAGAGGTGTGAGTGGAACATCCAGTAAAAACGTGCAATGGACTTTCACCGAGTCCGCCTCCAGTTGGGACTTCTCAACTACCTGTTTTGAAGGCATTGGGGAACGGCGCCAAACTTGGAAGTCCAACGAAGGTCATTGTCTCGTTGATATCTTTGGAATCCCAGGGCACTGCTTCTTCCGAAAAAAGCGAGCATTATCTACCTTTTCTAAATTGCGTGGTGTTGTGTTGAGGGGGATGGTGTGTTCATAGTTGGCGCGACGAGGGGAAACGGGATGATAATCCCCAAGCTGCCGCATCTCTCAAGTCACGGAAGTTGCAAGTCCTAACTTTCTATTGTCAGTGAAATTGCCGGACTTTTCCTTTCTGAATTCGTGCTTGTTTCTTGCTGGTTGTAGGTTCGGGTTTAGGCCCCTATTCGTTATATCCCATGGATTCTCTTGAGATTTCTATAGTAAACCATGGTTACACCATACAGCATCATGAAGGGAACAATCAAAAACCATACAACCATGGAGCGGGATGAGAATTTTCTCCGGGTCCATTTTGGGCGGGTGACACTCAGACGTGGAGCCCTGGAGGTTTTCCTGTATCAACACCTCGCCGCTTCGCCCACCATACGATTATCACAATCTCCCGAAAGATGGGTATTTTCAGGAGTTCGCGCACTCCACACGCTGTGAGTTCGGAACGAAAACCACTTGTCAAACAGTTTTAACTCCATCTAGATGCACCGAAATACTGCCATCGATGTGATTATTGCCGAACACGCACTGCGTGAACAAGTTCAGCGCGAGGAAGCGAGGAATATTAGGGCCGCGGCCTGTGAGAAGTTGATGGCTGCTGGAGACCAGAAAACTCGGCCCGAAAATGTGAAATCAACCCTCGAGCAGGCCCTGTACCGAGAAGTCTCTATGCTTGAAGCGCCCGACAAACTTGTGTATGATGCCTTGAGGCGTGACCCCAAGTGGTTTATGAGGAAACCATTGGTCGAAGATTGTATTGACTCAGGTGGATGTTGTAGCCGGCAATGTGGATGTTGCGCAAAGAGATGTTCTGTGGGGGCCCATAAGGTTCAAGGGCATTGCACCTCGGAGTGCTGGTGCTGTGCCGAATTTCGCGGTTACGAACTCTCGGGCCAACAGAAAAAGGAGATCAGGCAGAACATGGAAGCCCGGCTTCGCTATGGTGGGAATCGCGAAATTTCGCCCTATCTTCTGAGAATAGCTAGCGGGTCTTTCGAGCCTTCAAAACCTCCAAACTCCAAGAAAAACCGGTGGTTCCGAACCGAGCGGAAGATGGGCTTGAGCACGGAGTAAACAGACGATTGTTACATGTTTTTTTATTATTTCCTTGGATACCGCTCGCTCTTGGCTTCTCGGCGTCGAACAAAGGAACAAAAGAACCTGGGAGCTAGCGCTGACACTGTAAACGGGGGCTGAAACAAACTTGCCTTTGCAACTTCAACTTTAGAATCACCCGAACCTCGCTTCTTTCTTTATGTTTCTTTTTCGATAAGCTCGCATTATGAGCAAGATAGATGATAAGTATGCTCTTTTGACAGCTCCCCTTTCGACCTTGCAGATGTTGTCGTGTTGCTGCCTGCTGACCGTGTTCCTTCGGCCCCAGATTTATTGGCCTCGCACTAGCGATACTATCCTCAATAGCTATCGGTTGGTTCACTTTGAGGCATTTCATGGAGAAAACTGACGATCGCAATGACAGGCTCAAGCTATGTCGTCACCAAGAAGGTTCAGCGCCTACTCCCAAACCGTCCCTCAATCACCATGCACCTCGGCGCTAATACCAAATCAGGGTCTCATCCAAGCAGCCGAGCGATATGGCTTCACCGGAGATGGATTCGAATACATACGGAGTGCGGTGTGGTGGTGTGGGATGACCATGCGTATGGCCCGAGGGATCGACGAACATCGCCCGACGCTGATAACCATTCGCAGTGGTTACTGGAGAGTTGATGAACACTGCTGCATACGCGTTTGCTCCGGCTGTGTTGGTCACGCCGCTTGGAGCGTTGAGCGTACTGATCGGGTACGTGGGACTATGGCCGAGTTTACAGCGCTAACCGGTGACCAGCGCGTTGATGGGCTCATATTTCCTCAAGGAAGAGGTGAATGTTCTCGGGAAGTTGGGATGCGCCGCGTGTCTTCTAGGCTCGGTCTTGTTGGTGCTTCATGCGCCCGGCGACAAGGACATTCAGACTATTGATGAAATCCTGGACCTGGCGATCCAACCGTGTTCGCAACCCTTTCTAGCGCTATGTGCTCTTGATCCGCTGACGTCCCCAGTCTTTCTTATTTATTGCGCCTGCGTTACAATAATTGCCAGCTATGTCATTTGGAAGATCGCACCGACACAGGGGCGAACAAACCCGTTAGTTTATATCTCGATTTGTTCCTCGGTCGGATCTATCTCCGTCATGTCTGTCAAGGCCTTTGGAATTGCTGTGAAGCTCACTGCGGGCGGCGACAATCAATTCACCCATCCCTCGACATATGTTTTCCTGTCGGTTCTGGTCATCACTACCCTGACCCAGATGAACTACTTGAATAAAGCGATGGGTCAATTCCCTGCATCGCTGTACGTTCTCTCCCTCTTACCCTCTGCGTGATCGGACGTTGTTTAATTATGGATAGGGTGAATGCGATGTACTATGTTGGTTTCACAACATGTACCCTCTCCGCGTCGATTATATTCTACCAGGGATTGAACACAAGCAACTGGACCAGTATTCTCTCGATGATATGTGGATTCTTGCTCAATTTCACGGGCATCTCTCTTTTGACTTTGTCCAAAACTGCGACTTCCAGTTCATCGAGCAAAGGCTCGACCCGCGTGGCATGCATGTATCCAATAGACGCCCCCCAAGGACAGTACGAGCATGTGCGAACAAGCAGCGTGGAAATTGAATACGCCCGTGGGAGGGCAACTTCCGGTACTCAACCGGGAGCGGAATCATAACCACGACTCAAATTGTGAATGGTTTCTTTTCTGAAGACAAATAATTCGAACCCAGTACAAGTAAAGTCACGATTTATGTGGCCTGAGAATCTCCTGTTGAGCCTGCAAGAATGCCAAAGTGACATCAGTCTCCTTGCCTTTCTCAAGGAGATACTTCAACTCAAACTCAACACTCCCAACCTCTGGTGCCATTGCAAACCGCCACGCCAGTAAGAAACCCGTCACATTCCAAGCCACTTCCTCGGCAGAGGTGGGGAAAACAGGGACATGATAATTCCCGCTTTTTTCGCACCTTTCTTCGAAATGTTTGTCATACAAGTCCACCCAGTCATCGTATAGCTTCACGAATGATTCGGGGACGGATGCTGACTGAAATATTTCTTGCAAATCATCCTCATCCCAGCAAGTTCCTTCTTCGGGGGTCGTGTCGTCAAAGTCCCGCCAGAGAAATGTCGTACCGTAGTCTGCAAAAATACGATAGTGCCGAGGCTTTTGGGTCGGCGTGGACTTATTGGATAGAGGGTCGGCTGTGGAGGGCTGAACTTCTTGTTGCTCGTATATGTCAATTTTAACGTCTTGCGGCTTATCTTTTGAAGACTGGACTTCCTGCGGCATGACGGTGGTGATCTCCTCTCCTTGCACAGAGATCTTAACTCCATGCGTAGGTGATATTTTCAGAACCAAGCCAAAGCTGGTTTGTACTATAGCGCAACTCTTATCACACTCAGGGAGAGGCTTTTCGGAGAGGCATCGCCAAGCATCGCCAATGTTTCGTATGCTTTTGATGTAAGGTTGAGATTGGGAGTGTCTGGAAAATATTGCTAGGGGCTCGAGAAGACCAAGATCTGAAGTCATGGTTGCAGACTGAAACTAGGCAGAGATTTGAAGCCAGGTGTAAATACTCACAGCAGAAAAGAAGGGGATGTTTCTGTTTTGACCACACCTGGCTGGGCACGATGCCGGGTCAGATGATCTGTGAACATGTCAGCCCCACCCGGGCGCGGCCCGGTCGCATGGGCGTGGGGCTCCCCGGAAACAGATCCTTTGTACCGCAGTACTACACAGCGGCCCAACCTTATCAATTACTATAGACCTTGGTCGCTTTACTCGCCGTGTGTACACAATAATTCTGAATAAAAGTTTACATCTGAAAATCTTGATTATAGAATGCCTATATGGCGGAGGGGATTCAAGAGACAGAACAAACGAAGAAGAGTTTACATAGAAGTATTAAACGACGCAAAGTCGGATACTAGAAAGTTCGGAGAAGTACTCAGCCTTCTTGTTTTCTACTGAGTACTTGCCCAAGAAGTTTTATATCATATGGCGCCGAGATGTTAGTCCTTGCGTCTTTTATACACCAGGGGCGTCTGGCCCTGTGAGGAAAATCAAAAACTCACACTTTGATGAAACAGCTATGAAGTGTTTGATGGAGGTCGAGCCCCGAAAAGTATATGTTTGTTGGACTCATTGATGTTAAAAAGGAACTTTGGTTTTGAGCTCAAGTATCCAGAAGACTGATTGCTGCGTAGTCTCTTATACAGCCCGAGGCTAATTGAATGATTTAAATCAAATGTGGGTAGAGCGCTCACCGAGTCTGAAGAGTCGTGGATCAAGAGGTTCCTCAAGTGGAAAATGAAAAATACTGGTGAAATGGCTTCGAGCCAAATCTGGCAAGTACGAAGAATCGCGACTCCCACCAGTCTCTTTCCTCTCTCTCCCCCTTCCTCTTCCTCTTCCTCTTCCTCTTTCCCTTTCCCTTTCTCTTTCTCTTCTGCACACCTGGCCTCTGAGCCACATCCACTTCACGGAATCAACTACCTGTGCTTCTCGTCCATTGCGGGTCACCACAGCAGGTACCCACACATCGCTGCCATGCCTCCAAAGAGTAAGACTATGGATTGAAAATATTGCCAGGCTTTACTAGTAGCTTACTGACCCATTTTCTCCCCCCTTAGATCAGAGCTCTCGCGAAAAGACCACCGCAGGTGGCAATGCTTCCAAGGCTTCCAAAGATTCCAAGGCTCAACCAACTGACGCTGCCGTCAAGAAAAAGCACACGGCCCCCAAACGCTTGATCAATGATCCTTCCGGTATGTCTCAAACACTTGAGCGCCTCCAGCATAGTCAAGTGCAAACACCCACAAACGTCTTCATAGCCTTAAACGCCAAGAACAAAGATTATCTGACTGCGCGCGGAGTCATCGATCCCTGGAAGAGCGGTCCCGAGTTGGCCCACTTGAAGAAAAAGCGACCCCAATCTCCAAACAACCCCGATCCCATGTCCCACATTTCGAAGAAGCCAAAGACCAAGTCAGGCGACGTGGCCGCCAGTCTCCCGGCCCAGAAGCAACCCGGGTTGGAACCAGACACGCGAAAGCTGGACGGCATGCTCAGTAAAATGTACCATCTAGATAATCTGGAGCGCGCGTTGAATCAGCCAAAGAGGGTCGCGGAATGTATTGCTAAGAAGAGAAAGCTGGCTCAGGACATCCTCGAGGAAGCTGAGCGCGTGGGCTGCCTCTAAGCCGATGAAACAATCGCTAGCGCATTTGAATAAGCTCATATTCCATTTCATCTCTTAAATCATAAGTTAGTTCACACACACAATGGAAACATGATATGAGCATCACCGGTCCCAGGAAGACCCCAGAGAAATCTCGCTCCCTCTTCCTCTCCCTCGCGCTTTCTCCCCTCATATCTTTTTCTCGTATGGGCCCAGACCGTGGTTTGATCATTTTAGTCTTCCATGACTGAGCTTCTCGACGATGTCAATGTGGTCTTCTTAGTGGTGGTCTCCCAGTGGAGTGGGACTCAACGTCTGATCCTCGTCACCTGATTCCGGCGGTTCGAGGTCATCCCGTTTCATCCATCGATCGCGTGCCCCTTCACAGTCCCAGTTCTTATTCTTGCGATTCTTCTTTGCCTCATCTAGCCAAGCATCCCAATTTTTGGTTGCTGGTGCCACCTGCGCTTTCTTGGCCCAGCCGATCTTCTGTGTGGTCTGAATGGCCGCCCACAGCGCTTTGGTGAATGTTGGGTTTGAGTGACTTTCAAGCCTTTTCACCACATATCGATCTTCCATGTTCCACATCTCTGATGGCTCCTTGAGCAACGCCAGTCCCCAGTACGCCAAGTTGAGGATGATATAAGCCAGACCGACCGCAATTTGAACCTTCCAGCCCGTGTTGCTGAAGAAGATGATGGCAGCCATGAGCAACACGGTACTAGTGGCAAGAAGTATCTTGTGATCTTGCCCTTTGAAGACGTAATCACACATTTCGGTACCGGTATAAAGCTCGCGTGCAACCTCCTCGGTACATTTGACACAGACGAAGGCACCGGATCGTGTTTTGATCACCAAATCTCCGGGAGCCACCTGGCCCTTGGCTGTTCGGACTGTAAGGGTCGGGCGCCATTGCGCGGACATGCAGGCCATGCTGGTGGACAAAGACATCGTTCCCACGCCCAGTAGCCCGACTGCTTCGCGTTGAACACCAGCCCAAACAAACAAGGCAATTGTCATCAGAATCGAGACAAATGTCACACAGTCAAGCTGGCAGAACTTGTGAAGCGGAATGGTAACCTTCTTTGGGCCTTGTGTCTTCTCGACATCCTCCTGTGCGTCTTTATTCGCGTTCTTCTTGTGACTTATACGGTAGGATTGAAATTCAAACGCAGGCAAGGATTCAATATTGTGAATGACGTTGGCGAAGAAGTTGAGCTCGTTCAATTTGTTGCCCGAGTGGACACTAACGACGGCAACATCCTTGACGGCCGGCAATCGCGCTGGTCGGTCGGTGTTCAACATTGTTTCGGGGGCCGGCAGCAGACGTGGAAAGTTGCTGAGATGTGATGCCGTTATAACCTGTGCATGCTTCTCGATAGCAGATCCTCCAACAACTGCCAGCAAACCGACAATGTCGAAGCTCCACGAAACGGCGTCATCGTCAATATTCAGTGGAAACCAGGCCATTTTGGTCTTGATGCTGAGACCAGCTCCCACAGCATGCGACCGACGCTAATAAATAGAGTGAGATGAAGAAATATCACCGCAGAGCGCGGGAAAGCGCCCGAGACGCATCTGCAGGGTTATTTAGGGGATTCACGATGCTCAGTTCGTGCGTTACGCTAGTGGAGACCAATCGACAAATTCTAACTGAGGCTACCTAAATGGGATATCTTTGCATGAGACACCTCTCGAACGATCGATAGGGAAGTGAGTACAAGATTCTCTCCACAGAGCACTGCATACGAACAACATACAACGACCCAACCTCTTCAATTCGGTGGCCGACATTGTCATTTGTTCAGATCGCACCTGGGTCAATGAAAGAACCCAAATTCATGACATCTCGCTATACCCTATTGAGTATAGCTTTTGGGGCCGACACGAAGTGGGGTGGACACGGCTCAGCCAGCCTCCCGAATATCGAACGTCAGCAAATGTCTGTTCTCAACACGCCGCAACTGGTGAAGGTTGCCGAGAAACGGCCAATAGCTCTTTGTGCTGAATGTATTCCGCTATCCAGTTGGCATTGACACCAAAAATTGTGCTCAGGAGGGACCCGACTGGGAAATTGAGCGACAGTAGTCTCACGAGGGATGTCGACACGAGGGATGTCGAGCAGAGATTACGGAGTACGGGCAAACTCATATACGAGCAAGTACAGAATACACACAAGTGAGAGCGCTTCAACCTGCTTTCACGATTAGGTCTACTCCGTACTGGTTGGGGTGCAAGCGATTCATCCAGCCCCTCTTCTTCCGCATGAACTGACGCGACGATCTCAATTGGGCGCACCCGGGCAAATTGTGTGAGCTGCATATCGGACTAAGCTATCCCGACCGTACGGTACCCTACTAAACTTTCTCATTCGAAAGCGCCTGTCGACCAGCCTCGCTCCCCGAAGTCAATCCTGCGATGTATTTCTTTGTCGTGTCGTCGAGGCGGGATCCCGCCAGGAGAACGCCCATGATGTGGCCCGCCAGTTGCCCTTGGGTGATGAGCCCGCAGCGAATCACATCGCTCATCAGATCATAGGTACTGTGTACCCTGAGTCCACGCATGATTCGCTCTATCGCGCTGGTCAGCTTTCTGTCCTCAAAGACTCAGGTGAGATGTTCTCTCACTGCTCAGGCCCCAACTAGCGGGCTTGGTGATCACCACCTTGTAACTGCGAATCCATGATTTGGGATACGAGGCTCGCAATCCGATCGGGTGACCTAGACTCTTGATTGAAAGAGTGCTGGTGTTGCGAACTTCGGGGACCACGGGATCTTTATTTGATTGTTCGCCGATGGGGTGGCTGGTTTGTAGACTGGGATTTTGGGGGCTTTCATCCTTGGCTTGCGTTCTACCGGATTCCACGTCGGTATGATCCCCGGCGGCCTCGAGGTCTGTCAGGTCTGCATGCTATGAGCAATCCTACTTGCGCTGCGGTGCCTCCAGGGACTGACCTTCTTCGGGCTCCTGGAAGGACACTGGCTCTGCCATATCATTCATATCGTGATTTTCCGGGGAACCGATTGGGGTTTCCTTGGAAGTGCGAGTGATGCCAGTGAGCTCCTCGAGTGCCAATTTGTCCTCTGCAAAGAAGTTAGTCTTTCTTTGCAGAAAGCAACCCAATCGGATCGTACTATAAACAATGATCCCATGCTCGAACCAGGAATTGGCAGAGTATGAGATGAGGAAAAACACATCAATAAAGCCGATAAATCGAATCTTGCCAGCCCATTGCTGATCATTGATGGAGAGCTCCCAGGGATGTATGTCGCTGAAAGGTTAGCTTTGAGGTGCCTGAAGAAATGTTTATGCTGCACCCAACAGTATGAAACATTTGACATACCAATCGCACTCTAAGGTGTTGTCTTGGATTGATCTACCAAATGTTTCCAACACTCGATGGTAGGAAGCCATAGTAACCTGGTTGCACTTTCAGGTGAAGTCAAACACCACTGAGAATGCCCATATATGGCACGTCCGTCGAAAATATTATCACTATAGGAGATTCCCAAGCCACTTGAGGGGTCTCGGAGCATTTGAAAGTACCAACTGCCAAGTAGAGGATATCGAGCCGAGACCTGCAGACATTCAGCTGCAGCTTGCGGACCATCGGGTCCGCTAACCGTCTCGTATCCGCTCTCTCCGTCAATAACCCTCCATCCTATTCGCTAGGTTGTTTGCCATGTTCTGCTTTTGATGGAACTTGGCTTTTGCATGTGGAGTGTGCGACGAGGGGGAAATGACAGGCCCGTCTATCCCATAACGTTTTATTGGGGTTGCGAAGCCTTTTTGCTTCCTGAGCTTTTTACTCCCGAGGTGATCTTGGTGTAATATACTATCGACCAGTCACTTTTGGCACTGACTTCACGTCCAGTCTATCTCTAACTCCTTTCCCATCCCCATACTCTGTATTTTCCTTTGACACCCAGGGCCCTGGAACCTGAATGACGATGAACTCGCTCGGCACGATCAGATCAGCTCTTTCGGACTCACTCGTCTCCAACTCAGCACTTCGAGAAGCATTTGACATTGCCAGCTTCGTCGCCGATCGTTCGAAAAGGTTCAAGGATATTGCTCTTGACGATACTCAAAAACACAAACTTCGTCGAATCCTGAATCATTTCCTTGTGCCAACAATTAAGCCAAAGTTTGTGGACGACGACGGGCTCTTTCTTCACGATGACGATCGAGTCCCCGATGACTGGCTTGCCAAAGCCGAAGACGATCTGAGAACGCCGCCGCGCATGATAGACGTTGACACTATGAATATGGTCCCCACAGACAACTTTGGCTTGCAGGATCAATACTGTATTGTTTCTCATAGCTGGAAAGGCTCCGAGTTAACCTACGGTTACTTTGGTGAGGCCAAATCATTTGAGCCTAAGAGGGACTTGAAATCCGCCGAACCGCAGCCGGCCTCAAACGATGTGAACAACATCGTCAGCAAATGCAAGTCTGAAATTGCAAAGCTTGAGGCAAAGATCACAGGCGCGCTCCCGCATGTCAGTGCCAGGTCCGATGGTCAACGGCCCCAAGATATCACGACTCTTCTTGAGTGGTATGCCGATGCCAACGAAGCCGAGTTGTCTCTCGGGAGCTTCCAGAAGAAATTCCATGATGCAAGGGCAACGGTTGCAAGTGCGGAAAGAGAAGCAGATTTTTACAACGACCTTTTGAAGAGTATCAATGTTCTGGCTGACGACACATCTTCTACCGACACGTTGAGTGCCCCTGCAAATGGCCCAGAAATGAAACAAGTAGAGCTCGCTATCCAGTCGCTGAAAAAGGAAGCACAAGTGAGCTCCTTGCAGGCAGAAGAAAAGTACCTGAGAGCCGTGGAAAGGAGACAAGAGGTGGAAAGTACGATCGTGTTTTTCGACAAAAACCGTGAGCTGTGCTATGGCATCGAGGCGTTACTGGTAGCGCTGCAACACATCCGCTCTTCTCGCAAAATTTTGGAGTCAATCGCTCAGACTAAAAATTTATTCGATGCGTACTTCCCTAGGGGTGGGAAACGCTATGTCTGGCTTGATACATGTTGTATCAATAAGGCAGATAGCTTCGAGCTGAGCGAGTCTCTGTCCTTGATGGGAGATTGGTATGCCAATGCCGACCTATGCTTGGTGCATTTAGACACGGCGCGGGACGAAAGATCCTGGATTGAAGAATGGAAGTACTGGAAAGACACGTCCCATTTCCCAGTGCCACTGAACATGGCCAGTTTTGATCAGATCAGTGCGGTCGGCGAAGCTGAGAAAGCCAAGATCCATGTCGAGTGGGCAACTCGTGGATGGACATTGCAAGAACTGGTCTTAAGCAAGGTGACCTACTATGTCAATTCTCACTGGCAAAACTTACCTCGACCTGTCGAAGTTCTGGGTCCACTATACTTCTTGTGCGCTTTCATTCCAAGCTATTTGAGTCACCCCTATGTCCAAAAGCACAAATTTGTGTCTTCCAAGCGCATGGAAGATTTGATGGAGCTTCTTTCCCCCAATTTAATCAACCCAGATATGTCTCAAGAACAGAAGCTCACTGTCATGCTTCAAGCTTTTGGCTTCGTGGCACCCAGAGGCCTGAAGGAGACTTTGGCCGAAGCTCAGATTGGAAAAGCAGTTCTCACTGCTTCCAGACAGCTCCCGCGTGTGCTGGGTGATATCATTTCGAAGAAAAGTATACCTCATCCAGACTTTTTGTCAGATCTCAGAGATGATGCGCACATCACAGAAAAAGTGACACTCTTCAATCACCTGTTGTCTGCATTGGCAGACCTCACCGGCGATCAAGTCCTCAGCGATCGGCAGTTTATTGCGGAGTTTAGCAATGTCAAGAACATGAAAAACTGGATAAGCGGCACTCTTGGAGACTCCTCCGCCAGCACCTCTCTTGTTGCAGCGTCGCAGCGCGTGACGACCGTTTCCACCGATCAAGCATACTCTTTGATGGGAATTCTGGGAGTGAGATTCCCAGCCTTTCCCGCAGAAGGCCTTCCAAAGGCCTTAGCCCGTCTGCTGGACGAAGTAGTTATTGCATATAATGATGTTTCTGTCTTCAACTGGACTGGAAAGCATCGCGGCAGCCCTTTACACGGGAGATCTTTATATCCCACAAACATCGATTCCTTCGTCGATCCCACCAACAATCCACTTGTCAAATCAAAGGCGCGGACTAGCAAGCATATTCTGGATCTGTTCAGAGCTCAGCGTGTGCGACAGAGTGAGACTGCAAGGGATGTGAATGTGCTACTGGCCGAGATGCTCGCTGTGAGTAAGAACCTACCAGAGCAATGCTCGGTGTTTGCCAAATTGGGTGAACTGGCTGCACAGATCAAGAAAACCAACTTTGAGAAGTTGGGCACCCAAATGGCGAAGCTGAGGGAGATTGTTGCACATCTGAGAGACTTTTCGCCTGCGGACGCCGACGAAGAAAGCAAAAACAAGTCCCTTGTTGGTAGACTCAACAACACTAAGGAGCGGGTAGATTCATTCTCCAGATCTTTAAAATTTGAAGCGCCTAAGATTGAAGTCCCCAAGTTTGAGGTTGCTAAATTGTCCTTTGGAAGGAAAAAGGGCAATGCACAGCCGACAACTGAACCTCAACTGAGCGACGCTGCACCTTCCGCAAGTCCTACTCCTATCACAAGCAAAGAAGAGACAACAGCGACCGTTGGAGATCAATATGACATACTGAATAAGGATATACAAGACCTGATCGATGTCATCAGCCAATCCAAGAGTCCTAAGGTAGAATTGGACAAGGGGGCCACCCTGGATACGCAGCCTGGCACCATCGACAACACCTTCTCTCAAGGTTTCATCACTACCATTGAACAAGAAGGTAGAAGAATGGTCTGTCCGAACCCAATCACTGTCAGCAGCGGCGGTATTCGCGGTATCTTTGACATACAGCGAATCATTGTTACCATGGTTGAGCCCGAAGTCCTCCGTTCCCGAGTGCGGTCCGCAGCCAGAGGACAGAAGATCGATGGTTGGTGCACTATCAGCACTGGTCTTTCCGTCACTCTGGTGGCCTTTTGCGCCGAGCGAGATGTTCTTGAACAGCAGCTCGATCTGGCAGAGGTAATCAAGACCTACATAGAGCCCAAAGAGCCTAACCCCACTCATGTGGAGACAGATGCACCCAAAGGAGATGAAGGAATCCTCAGTGGGATCAGAATTGAGAAGACCCCCGAGCAATTCAAAGTTGCCCGCATGATCAACTTCGTGCAAAAGTCAAACCTGGAAGGAATCGCCGGGGAATGGGTGCTGGCCCGCTTTTCAGGCGTCGATGGAGCCAGATGGTTCCTCTGCCAACTGGTCCTAGGTGCTGGCAATGACTTCTACGGGAAGCGTATTGCCACAGACGCTTTCAGCTTCGAGGATGCTGCGCCTGAGCAGGGATTGACCGAGTACTGGCACCAATTTACCATGGAGAAGAAGGCACGGACTTGCGATACCCTCGACATGTATCTCAATCGCCAAAAAATGTGGCAAGCAGCCGGGAAACAACTCGACCAACTGCAGAAAATGGAAGCCCCCTCCCAGGCCGATGGCAAAGAAGGGGTCCAAGGCGATTTTGAGGCTGCATGGGAGATCGTTCAGAGCGTCTCCTTGGAGAAGATTGGCAACTTGGGCAAAATGTCAGGCTTGGGTATCGGTGGCTTGGGTGCTGAGATTTGGGCATATCACTTGGAAGGTCGTATTGAGAAGAGTGCCCTGAAACGTGTGCCAGTGTTCTTGCGTACACCTGTTCGGGACCTGGATCAGAATCGGAAATTACTACCTGCCATGTTCCACGCCGGGCGCGAGATGCATCAGTTCTAATCATGGAAGCGAAAATTGATTTCCTAGGGCTCTGCTTAATTTTTTACGCACGATACTCAGCGGGCCTAAACTTACGTGAGACTGTCACTTCGATGTTCATCTACAGCCCCAAAGGTTTCGAAGTGATCATTCCACTCTATTTGACTTTAGAACGACACGAGTGACAACAATTTACATTTCCAAGGTTATTGCTGTTCAAGCCTCAAGTAGCTAATTGATTGGATGATTATTCGCATAATTAAATACTGAACCGGCAATTACGAGCTGGGCTCTGCCAGTTATGATAGCACCTCTGCAAAGTCAATGATCCACAGGAGATTGGCGTTAGAAACTCGCCTGGAGCCCACTAAAGGCACTAAAAGCACTAAAAAGCACCCAAGGCCACCCAAGCCACTAAAACTGTGCCGTGTAAACAAAAGGTGGCGCAGGCTCCACGGGCAGAATAAAAGCGGGGGGGCTCAGCCGCTTTTCCATTCTTTCTATCAACCTTCCTTTCTTCAACTTCCAGCCATGACACGTCTCCAAAGTATATGTCAGGCGATCGTCCGATTTGTGCTACTCAATAAGAAAATGACTCTCGCAAGAGTCACAAAATCATCTTTCATGAAACTGTCAGACGTGGAGGCGGTCCGGCTATTCGATGATCTCTTTCACAGTGAACTCGAACATTTGCAGAAAGCATCAGTCACAGTGGAATCTACGACGAAACCTCCAGCAGGGAATTTGGGAAACAACAAGAATCAGACACCATCACATGTGCTCTATGATGAGGACTATCCAGAAGTGAATCGCACTCTGGTCAGCTTATTAGCGATTAAATGGGTCTTACATGGGGATTATGCCTCGTTCACAGACACTCAAAAAGCCAACAAGCTCTCCAAAAAATCATTTGACGATCTGCGAAAATTTTACAACCGTTTAGTGAAAACAGATGAGGACTTACATGCGCTGTTAGTTGCCATGGCGATCGATGACATAGGCAAGGATCCAAATCTTTCTCAGGAACTGGAAAAACATCTTGGCGGCGTTCCAGTGAAAGCCAAAGATCATTCGGACTTGGTCTACCAGGCAGCAAAATCTGAAGAAGCAGCAAAAGCAAAGCTCATTCCATCGCTGGAGATGGTCCCGCCCAGCTCCCGTGCTGACATCCTCGGCTGTCTCCACATAGGCTCACAACTGAACATATCCCAAGCCGTGCAAGGAGAATGTCCACCTGCTAGCCTGCGGATTCTCTCCACCGAGCTCGGCAAAGGAAACGCAATCAATCTGCGGGCCATGCTCACATTCCTTGACGTGGCAGGGGCTGCAGGGCATGTAGACAGTCGCAGCTGCATTGTTATGACCGAGCCTGTTTTCCAGGCTTATATGTCTGCCCTTAAAGCCTTTGAGGAATTTTCAAATGGTAGCATAGTGTCGCCTCGTGCCTGCTATGACCATATTATAGAGACTCGAGCTGAAGGTCTTCGGAAATTAGGCTTTGAGTTCCCGGTCTCTGCAAACGAAGCACGGGCGCTCTCTCGGTTGCTTTGCATGGGCCGCGTGACTACCATCGAGCAAGCAAATCAGTTCAAACAGGCGCTTGATAAGCTCGCACCGGAAGCTAAGAAAAATCTTATAAATGGATTAAATGTGGATGGCATAGATGATGGGGTTGCAATACTTCCTTACTATGCCCCTGGTCTTCTTGCCGATGCCACCAAAGACACTGATAAATCAGATGATGTGGTGATTCCAATACTATCTGCCTTTTTCCGCTTCTTAGGAAGGGTTTTTAACGGGTCTGAGCCGACACCTGGAGCTAAGGGTGATATCATTGAACGGGATTTGAGCTTTGTGCAGGAGAAAATCAAGAGTGAGGATTTCCGATCTCAACCTGAGATTTTGGATGGAGTCGGTTTTCCTTGGTAACAGCAGAGAATCCTCTCGGCGAATCTTGTTATTGCGTTCTAAGGATTTTTATGATACACGATTCAGTTCCTTGGTTGTTAAGGCGTGGTGTTTGCGAGGCTTCGGGTGGTATCGTGCATATTCAAGTTGCCAGAGTACTTACAATGATTAATCTTTCCAATCCTCATATTCAAATGCTCAGTGCGGAGTATTCCGTAAGGCATCTGAAGTAACGTACAATTCTGCCAGCCTCTCCTACGGAGTACTTGGGGAAGGTAAGTCTAAAAGATGAAAGTGCAGTTTGCATTGGCCTTTTACTTTTCAGCGCAAACTTTCCTTTGACGATTTTTGACGTTTCAACAACACAGCTATCGGGCGCCAATACAAAGCACATGAGGACGCAACGAAGGCTTGAAGAAGAGAGCGAGAGAAAGGAGATGCTGGGTAAGTCCAAGCCCATGGTCGAGAAACGGTATATATTTTCCATATCACAGCTTACTGAAAAGTTTTTGGTGAGGAAATGAATGCAAGTCCTCTCTCATCATTCAGAATACCCCCTCCCTGCCTTCACTTCGCATCAACCGACCTCATACCGCATCGTCCGCATCAAATTCCATTCACTTTGGGAGAACTTCCTCATGAACTTTCAAAAGAGGAATAAACAACCCAAAAAATGCCACCGATTATCCAGGGCCAGCAACTATGAGCCCCCCTGGAAGAGCTGGCATAGAGAGCACGTCACAAGAATAACGAACTTCGGCGAGATGGGCGTTGGAGATGTTTCTGGACTATGGGTCCGCCATCGAAGCAAAAATCGTGAGGCTGAGGTTTCGTACCTCACCGACGACGAATCCTGCTCGGAAACCTAGTCCCGCCCGAATTGGGGACCCTGACCCCAGCGGGCGCCGAGAGCCAAACAGGGATGGAGACCGAACCGCAATCACCAACATATCATACAGCGCTAGACGATATCGTTACGACAGACAGATCAGTGGGTTTTCTATCGCTAGCTACTACGAATTGTTACCCAACGGCATTTACCGACAGAGATCATATTATCGAGCACGAGGTCAAGAAACAGGAGCTGCTTGGACTTCGAACGGAAGATCGGCCAGCTCATCATGCCAGACCAGTATCTGACCACCTAGCAGCCGTAGAAGCTGGTTGAAGGACCACTCCCGGCTGATTGGTGGGCAACTAGCGCCGGACACGATGGAGTGGGAGCTAGCTGCCAGGGTGCTCTACACATGGGCTGATCCATTTGTGGCGGACGTTCGTTCAATGCCGCTGACCAGGTTCATTCACCATCGCATCCCCACCTTCCCGAACGTCATTCCAAAGGCTGTGAAGCTAGTGAGATACGCCCCTGAGGAGGAGCAATGGCAACAGACCCACATCCCGAAGCTAGAGGAAGAGGGTGTGATCACAAAGTGCATGTAACCGTCCCGACACGTTTCGCAAGTAACTTTCATTGACTGAGTGTACCTTCCGCTGCTCGTGGGGATGTGTCTATCTTGATGTCGTGGAGAGACGACCAATCCACCTCTTGGAAGAGACTTTATCATTTCTCAAACCTAACTTCAACGTTTTGCTCAGGCTTATTGGGAGGCGAAGTCTGTATCTTCTTAAATTCACAGGTCAGCATCATGCAGAAATATATTGCGGACGGGTTCCAGGCTGATGAGTCTACAGGGGAAAGGAGAAGCGGACGAAGACGGTCAATTCTCTGTGCTCTTGGGGGACCGAAGAAAAAAACACAAAAAAGACAGAGGGAAAATACGAGAAGAGGAGACCAGCCCCAGAGAGTCATCTCCACATGGGTATGCCCTGGAAGGACACTCAAAACAACAATGATGAGGTTCGCAGACACCATCAGCCTTTCCATTTACCGAGCAGGGATGATAACCGCATCACAACGATGGCAGATTGGGCAATTTGAATATACCCGGTCCTGGTTGCGAGGATGTTTGAGACTAGGGCCCTTCTCGTGGGGAAACAGAGAGCAATGCAGACATGTATTGACGAAAAGGAGTTTGCGGTAATGCCTGCATATAGATTTCGCCGGTAGTACCTAGCTGCTGCAGCTAAATGTGACCTCGCTTTTAACTTTCAGATGAGAGTATTAGAAAGGCGAACTCTCTCTTTTATATTGCAGACAGGCCTCTGATACGGCGACCCGTAAGCCGTCGACACTCAACTGGCATCCAAGCCCCTTACCGGAGCCGCAACATTGAAAGTCATTTCTGCAGCACCTGAGTCGCCCTTCATCCTTGTAAATTATCTCTTATTTCGATCACCATTTTTTTTTCTCGGTCGCACTCTGCATGGCTTGAGTCTGGCTGAGCGGGGTACCCCTGTGGTTGTGTGTCCTCCATCGAATCAAAACACGACTACCTTCTGCTGCCGAACAAAATCTCAAGGCTTCCTACTGCTATGTCACCCTACCAACCGCTGACCCTCCCGAGGTCGGAGTTACGTTAACTTGGCCATTCGGCGCGGGGGCAACGGAGACCCTACGCAGGAACCGTCAACTCTGCTTCAGCGATTAGTCTCAATAGCAAGAGCCCTGCAACTTGATTGCTCTGATTCTATGCATGCATCATAGAACCTACCAGAACGCAAATCCGGGCACCTACCGTCATCTCAATGGATTAGCCGAGAAACTCATGTGGGTTCCAGGCTTTGGCGACGAGGGCTGGGTAAGCCCAGTGGAGCAGCTAGAGCTAGTGCCAGGTGGCGTCTCGTCAGGCACGGAGGCGCCCGAGAGCTTTATGACCCCTGTTCCCCCTGGGGATTAGGCTTGGAGAATCGCCAATCGCGGATTTGAGTGTTCCACTTCAACCTTTTACACCACATTGTATTACGCGGCTTTGCTTTTGCGGAAAGCCTCCGAGTCTCAGCGCTAAATCCAGACTTGTTGATTCTGCATTCCCAACAGCAATTTCCTAATAGGGAACTTCGTTCGCCTAGCTTGCGGGTGATCCGCTTCCGAGGTACCCGTTGCTCAGTCGGTAAGTCCACACCTTGTTCATGGACACCTAGGACTAGCTTCATTGGGTTAATCCAATGGCAAGCCTATGGAATTAATCTCATGATAGCCTCCGGAGGGAGACAGCTCCGCCTGAAGCATACGTAAGTGCTTGTCTAGTCGGCGCTCCATGGCATTAGACGGTCAGCGCAGTCAGAAATCGGTGAAAAAGAATCCAAAGTGATTCCCCAAAATGACCAAGCGCGATGTCCATAGGGGCGCATAGAGGCGCTTTTAGCACGTCAACAACAGCCCTGGGAGATGTATATAAGACGCCAACGCTCCAGAGAATCTCCGAAGCAGAAAATCAGACTACATACTGATCAACCTCTAAAAGCACTTCTATCAATTGACATAAACGACCTATCCACAAAAATGATGACCAAGGTATGCTTGAAGAGCTTAGCGATGTTTGATTCATAATGTTTACTCAATCAAACGAAAAGGCCATCTCCATGCTCTCTGCTCTAGCAGTCGCAGCCGTTGCGAACCCTACCGTTGGCTATGCCGGCTACTACTTCACGAACTGCACCACTCCGAGTATCGATGCCACAAACGCCTACGCTGGCTCATGCATCAATGTCGAGAACTTCCCCATCAAATCTTTCACGGCATATGTCGAGTCTGGGGCCTGTTCTGATGGTACTTCTCCGGTGCTGAACACTTACACTGCGTCTGGTTGTGATGAGTCGACTCTGTTTGAGACAGTCAGCGTCGATGCCGAGAAGCAGTGTTTTGAAGCGGATGTTACCCTCGTCAGCCTGAAGGCTGAGTGTGTCTAGAACTATGAACTTCACGAGTTCCCCATATTGATGGTCAATAACCACTGTCTCCAAACACTCCCTTCAGTGGTCTCGACCACAAATCTTTCTCCTGGGAAATCAAAGTCTCTTTTCGAGGCAGCCTTGCTCTGTACAGTCGATTTCAGAGACCAAAAACAAAGTAGCCATCCCATCTCATCTGTAACTTGTATCCATCTTATATTATCTTGGGCGCTCTCGTTTGTGATGACAAGCGGTCAGAACGCCCCATCAATACAATCGCAGAACATTATCTCAAGTATGTGGTAGTGACGATAATCACCGGAGTTGAGCCTGTATCTCAGTGACAGTGCCATGGATTGCCAGGTGGAAGTGGAGGCGTCGCATTCTCCGTTTTCAAGATGCAGATTATACAGATCCGGGGGCGGCGTTAAATCTTGTGGGGTGTGATTGGCTTCGTTGGGGGGTCCTGTGGGGTTTAGGGCTGCTTCGATTTTCAATTTTGGAATGGCGTTAGCATTGGATGTAAGAAAAGCAGGTGGTTGTTGATTTCTTCCTCTCAGAGGAGATATCCAGACCCCAGAGGCTGTTGCTTTGTCACAAAGTAATATGGTTGGGCGGTACGTTCTCGAGAGTGAGAGTTGCGCTTTCTCAAGTCGTTTGGTCGTCGCTTGGACCCAACAAAGCAGCAACAACAATCACACCACTTAATGCAAATTCCGGCGCTATTGACTTGAGAATGACATGAGCCTCTGCTCTGCTATCACCTCAAAGCTCTTGCTTTTAAGGCCCTTCTCGACACCCCAAAAGGTCAGCTGAGGGGCTTGGGGCCTCAGTGTCAACATTCAACACATGACAGTTGATGCAAGGGAGACAAATGAGTCCAGATTCAGGAAAACAGAATCAGGAGATGAGATAAGGGTATTTCTCTAATGTCTTGCATGACTGTACATCATGTCATCCATCTTCCCTTTCCAGAATGCTGCATGTATTCAGCTATCGATTTTGCCTGTGCTCTCTTTTTTGTTGACTTCTTCAAAACTGGCTTTTTTTCATTTCTTGTTTACTGGTCGGGCACGAAACTGACACGTCATTTCTCTTGTGTTCCCGAGCTTCTTTCTTCCTAGCTTCGTTCTCTGCTGATTCTGGATGCACAACGTTTGAATGAGAGCGCACGGCATGTGGAGGTCCCTGTGGGGTGTGAGGACTTCAGCGTGAAATGATCTCAGTTCGAGGATTTAGAACCTGGTCTAATACTGCTAATTTCTCTAGTTGGGAGAGTAGATATCCTGCGCAGATGCCCGCTAGCAAGTCTGATCCCCATCGAGGTTGGAATTTCTCTCTTATTTCCCCTTTTCTTTCACCAATCGACCTTTCAACCTTGTTCAGCTCCCTACTTTGGGTGCTGGGTCCTGGGTTTCCAGATAGGGAAACTCAAACACCAAGCAAAGATCTTCCGAGGTGCTCGCTTATGAGTTTTTGTTCTGAACTCACCATCCAATGGTCACTGGTAACCCTTGGAATGAGCTGGGTCGTCACCGGGTTTGTCTAATTGATTTTTATCCATGCACAGGCTTCGGCAAGAGAGAAGTAAGACCAAGGAGATCCTGTCGGCGGTCATCCGGTCTATAAGAATTTATACACTCTCCCAACATGAAGCTTCAACAATTTACGGGATACTCTTGGCCTACAAGTCCACTTTTGCAAGTGCTTTAAGGTAAGATCTCACGCATGGTGAAAACCTCATTTATTGGAAGGAACAAGCTCCATCCACTCACTGTGGAAAATTCTAAACTCGCCGACATGTGCGACATAATACAACACTGATCACCAGACCGTGAAACCCTAACTGGAAAGGGCATCTTCGGCTCTTCTCGGCTTCCAATCAAATCAGGACTTTATCACTTGCCCTGCAGGATCATGCCAATACCCATATCTTGGCACGGACTCAGCGGCTTGAGACATGGATTCAAGGACCGAAATTCCATTTTCCATCACGGACCCCTTGTCAAATGACGTTGGTTGCCAAAGATCTCTACACCGGCCTGGGGAATAATGGAACGCTGTCCCTTTGTGGCACCTTTGGTTCGTCAAAATCTCTGTCCCGATGCTTCGGCTTTTCTTCGATAATCCAGTGGAAGGTCTAGCTTGCAATCTCTGAGTCTTACGATATTGTCAATGAGTTTCAACTTGCAGTTCCCATGGATAGCCCATCCCTTCGCAGTCGACAAACTTTTCAAAGCGCGTGCGACAATTGTTTCATTCTCAAGGCTAAGGTAAGAGAACTCCCTCGAAAGAATAGCTGATTACTGACAAAGCACCTCTTGTGCAAAGTGTGATAAATCAAAGCCCTGTTCTGTTTGCGTCAAATATGGCTCAACTTGTCAGTACACACGACTAGACAGAAGAAAGAGACGTGACCTTGAAGCTATCGTGAATTCCTCCCAGAACCAGATCAGAAGGCTGGAGAGCTTGATCATTGAGCTTAGATCAACAGCTCGACCAGAGCAACTGCTGGCAGACAACTTGATGGATTCCAGTGGCCAGATCAACGCGTCACATGAGATTGCCACCACCGGTACTACATCAACTTTGTATCCGAATGCACCACATGAGATGAACCCAGAAAATACACCATCTGAGCAAACGACTTCCCTTGCAATCGAATGCTATCTGACTCACGCTGAGCCGATATTCCACATTGCATCGCAAATCCGCTGTGGGGATCTCTTGAAAATCGTGTTTGGCCCTGGGAGTCTGCCGACGGAAGCCGATACCTGCGAGCTCTCTGCCATCGCCGCTGTCGGATGTCAATTCAATAATATTGATATTCCTGTGTCAAGTCTTCCAACATATGCAAAGATTTTCTCCAGATCGTTGCTCGAAAGTCTCGGGTCGGACTCTCTACCCGGAATGCGGTGCTTTCTTGGGCTGTCACTTCGCTGGCACATGGAGAATCTAGCCCTATCGCAGACTTTCATATGTAAGTCTCGCTAAATCTCTTAGTTTATGGTGCTAATTACTGGGAAGCATATGGTATATTGCTTGGGCGCCAAAGACTGCCTTATCCGATGCCCAGTCACTCTTCGCAACTGGAAGAATGGGTCAATTGGGCCAAGGTTTATCGAACTTTGAAATTCATGGAGTGGTGGGTTTGAATATCTCTTTCAAGAGATCCGGACACATGATCTGTTCTTGAGTGTCTAGTTCAGAAAAAAAGTATGCAAGTTAACCTCCAACGTTTTTTTAGCTGGTTGTCGTTTACCCTGAATTCCCACATTGACATAGACATTGACGAGATTGACCTGGTAAGTAATAGCCTTGGCTTTTTACATTTACCGACTAGCAAAATGTCAGGACTAATCGAGAAAGCTGGATCTTTTGGCCCTCGTTGAGCCACGAATCGGCAACGGCAGCCCAGTTTGCTTCGGAACGGTCCATGCTCAATTAAGCAAAATCGCGATGATAGGCGCGAAAACCAACCCACATTACCCCTTCAATGCGAGATTCTCGTGGAAACAAGTTGACGAACTCTCGGAAAATTTGGATGTGTGGCGCCAACAGTTACCATCGGGTCTTTCTCTTCAATCTTTGATGTCGAACGACGACGAAACACAGCCGCACGATAGGCGCGCTCTTCTTTTGGTGCATATGCTCTATCTTTCGTTTCGATTGATGCCATACGAGCGCAAAATGCGACAGTCAGGTGTAGCGGAGGCGTTGACTATCTCCGATGACACGCTTTTGTTATATACTGGGTTCTCTCGACAGCTTATGTGGATCATTTCTTTCACCCAACGAGATGGTCTTTATGTGAGATGTTGGCTGGTGATGTAAGTCAACCGTGGACAGTCTGAGAAATTATATCGCGGTCTCTTACGAATTCTTAATCTATTTAGCCACGCATGTTTCATCGCCAGCACCATGCTACTCATGAGTGTCTGCCAGAATCTCCTTCGACAACCCGACCCTAAAGCTATCTGGAATGATCTGAATAGCGTTCAAAGCGGCGTACACTTGCTTGTCCAGATTGCGGATTCTACGGCTTCGGCTTCATTCTTTTCGTCCAAAATTGATCCATTGTTTCGTCGAACAAGGCAGCTTGCAGAGAACTACGGAGCTGCATCGCATGTTTGGCGGGATATTCGAATGCGTGTTGGAACAATATTGAATGCAACGCATATGTTCGAGCCTTCAAATGTTGTGGTCTTGATGGGTCAGCTTGTTGATATTTTACACTTACCTGATAAGATGTAGGGCGGTATTCGATTTATGTCCACTTTGTTCGTTTTTTTTATAACTCTCAGTGAGCTCGATGAAATTTTTTTCTATTAAGGGATTTATCACTTGAATCTGCGCGCCTGCACAAATGGGAGTTGAATAGATGTTTCCAGCAAAGAGCTCGTGCCCTGTATTGTTTGAGTTCACTGCTCGGTAAATCTATTGACTGACATTCTATTGGAAGTCATTTCTCAGTTGCTCAATTGGGGGGATTATTCCCTCCTTCTCAAGGACATCGAATGTCCTTTCAAATGTCTCCCAGGTATCTTCATATCCTGTCCAGCCAAGTTTTCTAGCTTTGCTCATGCTGGCAACACACCCCCATTCCCGGCCAAGGACAAATGTCAAGAAACCCCAAGTAGCTTTGTCCCACGCAGCCTGATCCAGGTTATATGAAGCCTTGAGCTTGTTCCATGCTTGAATGACGTCGTCACGCTGGGCCCATTTCTGAGGGTCCATGGGAAGCTGAAGAACTGGTGACCGAGTGGTGGTAGGATCATCACTGATACCCATAGACACAGCATGTACGGAAATAGGGTTGTTGAACTTCACCTGGGTATCGGTAGCCTCTGCAGCCAAGTGTTTCGTGGTATCAGGATCGAACATGTTCTTCGGAATCGTACAGCCAAATCTCTCGGCGAGGCGTGGCCACAAACTCTGGAATGACTCGGTATCGCCATTGGCGACGTTGAAAACATTGTTTCCAGCCCCAGGTGCGGTAGCGGCCCACATACAAAACTTTGCGTGGAGTTCAGCAGATGTCCAGCAATTAAACAGTAGGTAGTTGAGTTTGTTGCCGGGATAAACCAACTGTGAGCCTGGCAAAGCTTTGCTGACAGCACAGTATAAGCCAAGTGCAGTAGCTTCATTCATGAAGTTGTGTTTGGCGTATCCAATGACATCATTTGGGAGAGTGCAGATCCATTCCCACTTGCCCTTGGCTGCGGCGTCCTCGAGTATCTTCTTCTGGGTGTAATAGAAGTTGGATGGCCATTTGTAGCCGCCAAGCCCATCTTCCAATGCTGGGTCAGATTCCACCAGAGGCTGCTTTGGCAATCCCAGATGAACTCCATAATACTTGAATCCACAGGTCAGAATCAGTCGTTTGATTCTCTTCGCTGCGCCGTTCATTTCGAGTGCTTGAAGGAAGTTTGAGAGTAACGCGCCATTGACACGGGCCGCCTCGTCTTCATCATCTCTCGCCAAGTAAGCACAGAAGTAGATATAATCGGCAGAGACTCCCGCAAGACTATCTGCCATCTCTTCTGCTGAATTTTGCAGGTCAAGGCAGGCATGCTCGACCTGCGCATCCTGAATACCGGGCTGGCTTCGTGAAAGCGTGTAAATCTTTGTATACGTGGGATCTTGAACAAGATGGCGAACTATCGCGTTTCCGGTGATTCCTAGGATTCTTCTGTGAGCATGTCGAAGTCCTGCTGAACATCCACTCAGATCTCTGAAAAATAGGGGTGCTTACCGGTGGCACCTGTGACAATCGCGGTAGGCATGATGGGCTTCGATAAAGATTGTTTGGAGAAGAGGAGTTTGCAGCCATAAGAATGATACCATCCATATTTGCGACACGCTTGGATTTTAATATCGAATGCCAGTAGATCGTTGGTTATGAAATCATCATAGGGATGGTCCCGGGTTCATGCAGTTAGCCCCGGCTCCACTTCTCGTGCCCCGGAATTAGTCTTGGTCCTAATTCCACGCTTTCCCGGGGCCAATTTTCCTATGATTATAGCTTCTTCACTAAAATCACTAAACCCCACTCAACCCCGAGATATGGTTCGGAAATGCTGGAATTACTTTCAGGGATTTTGCAGGCCAAACTGGAACTTGATTGGCCTTCTTGAATCCGGGATTTGCTCTGCATTTGCCCGCACCAGCCCCGCTTCGTATCAGTCAAGTGCCCTCAATTCTCACATCTGCCGGGTAATTTTCTTGTTTGAATTGTACGCTTGAAAGCAGATGACAGTCAAATTTTACAAATCTCGATAAGGATGAATGACAACTACGCACTGCCCCGAGGCAGTAAAATCCTGGTAACAGGTGCTAATGGCTACATCGCCTCTCACGTTGTTGACCAATTACTTGCCCTTGGTTATACCGTGCGAGGGACCATTCGCTCACCCAAGCCATGGCTCAACGAATATTTCAATGAGAAATATGGATCAAACAGCTTCGAAACATTCATCATGTCTTCATTTGGGGATAAGACGACTGTGAAGCGTGCACTGGATGGGACTGACGGGGTCATTCATTTGGTAAGGAATCTCAGCACCACAATTTTTCCCATAAAGCATGCTAATCACCTCAATTACTCCCAATCTAGGCATCTGATTTGAGCTTCGGAAGTAACCCCGAAGAGGTCATCCCGTGGGTTGTCCAAGCTACGCTCAATTTATTGGAGATCTCTTCGCAAGTAAGCACCGTTAAGAGAGTTGTCTTGGCTTCCTCTTCCAGTGCGACATATTCGCTCTCCCCGGAGCCCAACGGGCGACAGCTGCAAGTCGGTGAGAAGAATCAATGCTGCCTGCGCTTGACTACGAAGCAAGATTGCTGATTTTGACTCAAGATACTTGGAACGATGACTCTGTGAAGGCTGCGTGGAATGATTCAACACCCAAGGAAAAGAAAGGAGTTGCTGTATACGCAGCCTCCAAGACGGAAGGAGAGCGACGGTCCTGGAAATGGATGGAAGAGCATCGGCCTCAATTTGAATTCAACACGGTTCTACCGTGTTTTGTTGTTTGTACATCGGCCACACAGTGCTTATTACTCGCTGACTGAAGTAGGTGGGCAAAATCCTTCACCCCGAAATTCCGGGCTCGACGATGGGCTGGGTGAGAAAACTTCTCGAAGGCGATGACACGGCGCTTTCCCAATTTCCCGAACGTACGTCAACTTTACTCCTCTTACTCTCACTTCCGTTTCACTTTTCTCTTCTTCTCTGCTCTCCTCTGCTCATAGTGTATCGACTTTTCCATAATCTAATCTCAATCTCTAGAATGGTATGTTGACGTCGAGGATACTGCTCGACTTTGCGTTCTTGGTCTTCTCGATCGAACCGTCACATCCGAACGAATCTTTGCCTTTGGAGAGCAAACGAACTGGACAGATACCATCAGCATGCTCCACCAACTCCGACCAAACAACAAGAGTATCCCATCTCCGCCTGAGAACGAGGTTAGGGATCAGACTGAGGTTATTCCACGCGCCAGAGCGGAAGATCTGCTTCGAGCTTTTTACGGCGTTTCTGGCTTCACCTCTGTCAAAGATAGTCTTGCCAAGGGTATTGATGGGCGGTAATTGTGATGCTTTCCTTCTCGGTCGTCTCATCACTTCAATATGAATTTTACTGACTAGGAGATAATGCAATGAAGTAGTGTGAGAGTACCAAGACCAAATATGATCGAGTCCTCCAGTCATGTTCTCCAATCTTCGCAGTTTCCATGTCCTTGCAATCATCGAGTTCCATTTCCTTTCACAAAAATATTCTGTCTACGTGGTGGAATCACAGTAAGAGATACAAATCACAGTCATTTTCCAACGCCATACACCTCGGGCTCTGCGGTGGAGAATGGTGGAGCCCAAGCCGGAATTATCCCCCAGATTGCTAATTCCGGTGTCTTCCATTGATAATCCCGGCTTCGCACTCTTCTCACTCTGCCGTTTAGATAATTCCTTGCGAAACCCGAGATATAACTTCTGAAGTATCTTGACCGGTGATGATGACAATGCCGGACCGTATTCCCGCCCGATCGCGACACTCGGCACGTACGCACATCAATCGGGCCTGTGAGTCCTGTCGCCACCGCAAGACTAAGTGCAATGGGATGCACCCATGTCAAGCATACACCTCTCTAGAAAAATGCATATACCGAATTGGACGTGCACGAAAGAAAAAAACGGGTGGCAGCGCAGAGAGACTATCCGACGTTGCACCAAAACGTCCAGCTGAAATAGAAGCTCCCAAGGATGGATCGGGTCCCGTCTTAAACGACTTGTTACAGTTCAAACGACATCAAGCATTGCGAGTAGGCATCGGGGTGTCGAACCCTGCTACTGGGTCATTTCAGTTCTACGGTATGCTCTTTTGCTCGCTCTTTACATTCTGGCCACCCCGCTGACTGGATAAATCTTACGCCAAGGCCCCTCTTCATACTTCTACTTCATTCAGAAGATATACGAGCGGGTGAAGAGAAATTCAGCCAACGTTGTTCCACCGCAAAGATTGACTGTTCCTGAGGGTATAGAGAAGTGGGGAATTGAAAGATTCATGTTTTCAGTCGAGGCGAGCGGCGAGTGTCGGGCACCACAACCTCATGAAGCATGTCTACCAAGGGAAACCAGGTTTGAATTCATTCACGCCTATTTCAAGATCATGCATCCCCAAATGCCAGTTCTCTCTTTTTCTGAAATCATAGCAGTCTGGAACACACTCTGGGAGCCCCCAAAACCTGGAAAATGTACCCTGAAAGGCAAGGAGTTGCTCTACATGGTGCTGGCCATAGGAGCTCGAGTGTCCTCATCTCATGGTCAGCAATCTGCGGAGTCGCTTGGCCATTGGGCGGAACATTTTTCTACTAAAGCGGACAACCATATCACCATGTTTCAGGAACCTAGCCTGAAGGGAACACATTTCATGTTACTGAAGGTTATACTTCCCATCATTTTGGTCACCATCATGCTAATTGCGACGGTTTTAGGCAATGTACGCTCTCCAAGTGGTGAGACCAAACGAAGCATACCTTTACTTCGGATACGCTGTGCGAGGCATGCTCGCTCTTGGAATCAATCGCTCGCAAGTTACAGAGGGTCACAATCTCAGCATGCACCGTCTCCGTCTGACATTCTGGACAATATTCGCCAATGAGAAAATGTCAGCGCTGTTTGTTGGGCGGCCATCATGCTTGTGTGAAGATCAGATTGACACACCCTACCCCGAGGACTTACTTTTGCAGGATTCTGACACCGGGGACCTGTATTCAGGCCCAACTTCGGCGTGTAGTTGGATCAGAGCTATGGCTGAAGTCAGTAAGATCGCTGACAGGGTATCGATTGGAACGTATTCGCCGACAAGCATGCGCTCAGTCTCGGACGTCACACGATCGGAAGACATATTAATCAAGTGCGATGCGGCACTCAAGGAATTTGGTCAATCGCTACCCTCATACTTGCACTTTTTCGATCCAAATCTACCGATCGGACAGAACTGGGAGGAAGTTCAGCGCATCAGTCTAGGTCTCAATTACTATTTGACGCAGATGCTAATGCACCGACCAACATTGGTTTTTGCCACTTCCTTCGGCTCTACTGCAGAGGCAGAGAGGAACTCGGCTGGCTTGCTGAAAATTCAGGACTCTGTTGAGGCATCTATTTCTGCAGCAAGGAATCTTATCAACCTTGCATACGACATGTACTTCGAAAGATATCCTGAAATTCGCTTCGACGGTTCTTGGGCCACCTTCCTCGCCTCGGCTTGCATCACTTTACTTTACGATGTACTTGACCCCCGAACAGCGCCGCAGCATGCTAGCTCGGTATTCATTACGGTGGAACGTGGGATCCGATGTCTCGATGAAATTGAACATATAGGCCCACTCACTGGAAAAGCTGTCAGTATGGATATCATGAAAGTCGCCAAAGATGCAATGGTCTCGATTGAGCAATTTTTCGAACCTGATCAGGACTTTGTTGATTCTTTCCCTTGGCTAATGTATGCTCAATCTACCTTTCTTTTTGCATGTTTGGCTAACCCAGTGACATCAGGGACAACGTTAATGTCAACAACGATCCATTGAGCACTGCATCAGGCGATGTGTCAGAAATTCCCGCACTTGGAGTTCCCAATATCCTTGACGAGCAATCCGTCCTGCCACAAGGCAGGTCCGAAACGCTAGACCATGGTTTGAACTATATGCCTCACTGGCTTGAGCATGGTTTCAACGTTCAGCAAATCCCAGAGAGTCTTTTCTAGACTTCTATCCAGTTCTACTAGTGTGTTCAATGACACCGAACATACCTATTTAGAGAATACACATGACAGTGAGATTGGGCGTCATGGTGTCGTCCAAAATGCTACTGTTAATTCGTCCAGGCTAGCAATTCTAGCGTTTCTAGGCTGGATTCGGAGATTGGCTCTCATATTTTCTTTCAACGAAATACCGGCAGCCGGGGAGGATCTACAAGCGGTCCACTTCGGGCGCAATAACCCGTTGAGATCCAAATGTGAAAACGCACAAATAACCAATAGTCAGCGCGAGATTTCTGCTGATGTACGTATTGCGCGCGTTTTGGTAGCCAGGATGTCAAGAAACAAACGACTCCTGGCCCCAATTCCAACGTGCTGAAGGAATCGTTCAATCCATATTCATCATATTTTGATTGAAAAGCCACGTTCTCTTAAGTCGCTGGAAAGACTCCGTAATTGGCACTCATTCTATACTTCCAATTTTATCTGATGTGCAAATTTGAAAGGGTGGAAAGCCCCGACCCTAGTTGGGGAGTATCGATATGTTTTCCTGTATGTGAATTGTATATCTGCCGCTGAGATAGTCAAAGTGAGATTTGAAGCTGTTAGCGTAAGATCCAGTGACGTTGCAATGTAAGGGTTACTCCGGACGGAGACAAAAAGAGAAAGAGAAAGAGACTCGGGCTGAGCCGCGAGCCTAACCTTTTAGGTCCTGGTCAGCTGATACTGGGCCCGTGCGGGGGAAACTTGACCCCGACCTCGTTGTCTACTCCGTACTAATGGCTGGATCTTGACATCTGACTCTTCTCAATGGCTCCACGTCCACGCCGTCCGCGACCAAAGATTTCCCTCTGGGCACGGTTCAGATGGTGGTTGCGCTTCTGCCATTCGCCTTTGAGGCTTAGGGGAAGCTACCGACGCCTCAGCCATCATAACAGGTATCCATTGCTCAAGCTCTTGCGAATGTTCATACCATATCCGACTTGGTATTTTCCGATCGAAGGCCCATTCCCTCTTCGACCACTTATCGAAGATACACAAAACAAGACCAATATAATCAACTCCCACTTTGGAGATATACATAACCTTCGAGATGTTCCTATCTGGCAGTGGCGGGACACCCCGCTACGATCCATTTATCGACTCTATGAGTTACATCTAGCTGACAAGTATGCTCTGATTGGCTGGGAAACAGAGTACTTCTTCTTTCGTCCTGATTGGAAGCTGGTAGACATACCTGATCCTAAGGATCCCGATCCGATTCGCTACGCCATCCTCGCTTCTATCACCGAGGAGATACTCGACGCGTTCAACTGGAGATTGAGCTTAGGCCTACGGAGGAATGGAGAGAAAGTATTACGGGAGGATGAAGGTGACCCGTGGCCGCCCTTTACCCCAGAGGAGCTACCCAACTGGACAGCCAAAGTGGCACCAATTGATAAGGGACAACTCAAGCAGACCGTTCCGCCTAGCAGCCTTGACGCCGATGGAAATCTGGTACTTGAGGAACGCGGCAAATCGCTCAATTTCAGAAAACGCAACATCATCACAAACAGCGGATGGCTCTATACTATCTAACCGTAAGATAAATAGTCTGATATGACTGGTTCATAAAGCAGACAAGCTTTTCAGTCTTGCTCACCTACTCTACTCTCACTCTCTCTCTCTCTCTCTCTCTCTCTCTCTCTCTCTCTCTCTCTCTCTCTCTCTCTCTCTCTCTCTCTCTCTCTCTC